TCAAATTTGACTTTTATTTTCTGTCAGGCTGATGAGGCATTAGCAGCCATCACAGAGGCGTGTTCCAGTAAGGATGGAAACCTTCTGAAGCTGTCTATAGATGCTGCCAGGGCACGGTGTACTGTAGGGGAGATCACTCAGGCCATGGAAAAGGTACAGTACACCTCATAAACACAGGGGAGGGGAGTGTCTTTTTTAACAGCAGTTACTGCAATTGTACTAATTGAACTCGAGAAGAAGTACTAAGGTCTTGAGTGTTAAGTCAAATGTTTTTATTGTGATATAAAGGAATATCTATTTGAAATTTAGGCTGGACTGAGAACATCAGCCTTATATATGTAAATACCTCAGTTGTCAGCACACCTGACTATATATAGTAATGCAGGGGTCCCCAGGTTCAAAATATCATGGGGTTCAATATATTATGTAACACCGAGTTTGATTCCCGGTCCAGTCATATGTTTTTCATTATATATAATTTTCGGTGTATGTTTACCAATTCCTCCTATATGTACAGGTATATGGTAGACATGTTGCTAGTGACAGGTTGGTCAGTGGAGCTTACAAGACAGAATTTGGAGAGGTGGATGAAATCACTAGAGCAACACAAAGAGTTCAAGTAATCAACAGATCTAAAATTAATTAACAAAAAGATTTGATTTTGTTTTCTGTGCTCATGCAACCTGCTTTTCTTGGTCAGAAAATATATTTTTAAATCCCATTGCAAAAAGAGTCAAAAGTATTCTTTCATCAATGATCAATAAAACTGACATATATTTTTATAGCAATTTGCTGAGACAGAAGGACGACGTCCACGTATCCTGGTGGCCAAAGTGGGTCAAGACGGACATGACCGCGGAGGAAAAGTCATCGCAACAGGGTTTGCTGACTTGGGCTTTGATGTTGATATTGGCCCATTATTTGCTGTGAGTTAAAACTGTTCTAATACATATGTGCATGTAAAATGTAAAACATGATTATGCAAATAGGTAAATTCCATGTTCATCTGTAAATGAACCTTAAGTTTGCAAGTAATTCAATCATGTATGACCTTTGAATATTCTTAATATAGAATCATTGACATTATCTGAATTTTCTTAATCTCATGCTTATTTTTGGCATTCCTTGACTTGATCTCAATCATGTTTTGGAATTGCTTCTTATTTACTTTATACACTTTGGTTTCAATTTAAAATGATTTTAAAAAAAAAATTAAAACAAAAAAAGAAAAATTAAGATACTTTTCACAATTAAAATTAAGAAAGTCATTAATTCTTGTAAATAATTTTTTCTATTTAAATGTTCCCTCTCTAAATATGACAAATATTTCATAAACTACCTCTGACATTTTTTCATTTAACAGACCCCTATAGAAGCAGCCCAGCAGGCAGTGGACGCTGACGTCCACGTGTTAGGGGTCAGTACTCTGGCCGCGGGACACAAAACTCTCATCCCAGAGGTTATCCAGGAACTCAAGAAAATGGGCAGACCGTAAGTAGGATGGGCTTATTTAATAATGGGCTGGCCCTAAATATGATGGGCCTTTTGAAAGAATGATCAACAGTGTAACTGAGGTGGGCCCATTTTAGGGGTGGGCATACCTTAAGTATGAAGGTCAGTTTGAAAAGATGGGCAAACCTTAAGCTACATGTAAGTATGATGGGTTGGTATTGTAAGAATACACAGATCATAAAAAGAGGGTTTTTTTTCTAGAAAACAGCAGATAAGCCAGGTGTTTAAAATATTGCCAATCAAAGATAGATTAGGATGCTTCAAAAAATGGACAAAACATGCCTGTAAAGTCAGAATAAATTCAATGGTTTTATATGTTGTTTAATCTGGAATGTTGTCTTAATTTGGCCATTTCTTTGGAACCAGTAGGCTGGATTAAACAAGTTTTACTGTAAAATATGTAAAATACATGGTTACTGTCTTGAAATATAAGCGATATTTGGGTGAGGGTAAAAAAACCATGATAGAGGGTGAGGCTTGCCGAGCCCTCTCACGTTTTCAACCTGAGCCCAAAAATCGCTTATATTTCAAGACAGTTTTCATGTATTTTGTTTATCCTGCAACAAAATTTTTACATTTGAATGTCCAAAACAAACTATTTTCGACAGATTTAGGCACATCCCTGCAGTTAAAACTATGACGCCATGGCGTAAACATTGCAATGTACGTGACGTCACAATGCTTTTATAACATTGGAATACATGCACGAGGCTTTATTAGGACATTGACTGAATAAAGCTTTAGTTTATTATGTTTATCTTTATTAGGTCAATGCAAGGGATAGTTGCAGGATAAAAAATGTAATGCTGTACATGTATTCATGTTGACCTTCAGTTGTTTATTTGTTACAGTGATATTCTGGTGGTAGCAGGGGGAGTCATTCCACCTCAGGATTATGACTTCCTTTACCAGGCTGGGGTCTCCGCTGTGTTTGGTCCAGGTAGGTTGGAATCTTAGAAAGTAATGAAATTATGTACTTGTATTCATATTAACAATTAGATTTTTAGCCATACATATGTGAAATATGAACAAATATGAAATTAATATTGATTGATGTCATATTTGTTCGTATTTATAGTGATAATCTTGATATTGCTTTGGGTGCCCTCAATGAAAAAAGTAAAAGTGATTAAATGATTCAAAGACTTAACTAGAAAACTGACCAGTCAGCGAGGGCCCCGCCATGGGGTGGAATTATAAGGATGCAGCTTATGGAATGATTAAAAAATATATGAAGAAATAAGCAACAGCAACTGTATTCTTAAAATTTTCAACATAATTCCTGAATATCCAAAAACTTGTAAATAATATCCTTGTATATTTACATTAGGCAGTAAAGAACAACCTAACATTGAATGTATATATAAACAATAATGAAGTTTGTGTTAGTGTTACCAGTATATAAAATGTCAGTCTTCAATGAATGCAAATACATGTATCATGAAAGCTTGACCTTAACTTCAAAACAAACAGCAGTTGCAGACAAAGTTTTTCATTAATCTTAAAATGACGGATAAAGATAGGCCTACTAAATTTTCTTCAGCAGGCTAGATAATTTATCCCAAGGGATTAATTGTACCTCTCTCATCATTTTCTTCTAAAGTTACAATAAGAAATTTTTCAGTATTAATATTAGAATGTTTTTTTTAATCCAACTTCCTTAAAAATTAATATTATTCTTGAATTTACATAAAGGGGAAAAAAAGTAAAATTAAAAGATATGTCTTCTTTAATCTATTTCTTGTTTTTAGAATTCAATGAAATCATAACTCATTGTGTAGGTATTTTAACCAAAATAAAGTATAAACATTTATATCTAAATCCACAGAGTGTTCATAGCCTTCCAAATTGACTGAACTTCAAAACAAACTTCATTTGCAGACAGAGGTGATAATTAATCTCAATGTGACAGATAAAGATAATGCTTTGGATTTTCTTCAAGAGGAAACTTAATTAATCCCAAGGGACTCATAGCGGCATTCAGTTTACAATGGAAACATCTTCAGCAGTTATCTCTCTTTGCCAAAGCATTCTTATATAAAGTTAAGGGATATACCCCACCACCCCAGCTCCAAACCAAGGGACATAGAGAAACAAACTTAGCATCAAAATATGTCTTTCTGCCTATTGAACTACCATACCAAATTTGATCTTAATTGGGCAACCATAAAAAAAGTTATTAGGAAAAAACAGGAAATTTGTGGACGGAAGAATGACAGACGGACAGACAGAGTGATTACTATAGGGCACCCGCAAATCCTTGCGGGGCCCTAATTATTGATAAAAAAAAAATTAGGGCCATATTTCCAACATGCTAGCATGTACATTGTAGATGAAGCCTTATTCTGGGTTCTGAAACTTATGTGTGTTATCGAACATGTTCAATTCATGGATTTAGGTCTTGCGTATGATTCTATTTTCTTTTAAAGGTACAAGAATTCCAGATGCTGCAATCAAGGTGATAGACATGCTTGAAAAGAATACTGACAATACGGATAAAGCTAAATCTGCCACTGGCTGAAAAATGTGATTGTGGAACTTTGTGGACAGATGTCAAAACTGACACTAAATCATTAAATTATAAACTTAGCTTATGCTTCCAAATGGCAAAATTTGTTTTCTGGAAACAGGAATATGCACTGAATGTGTTGCAGGTTAAACCCTTGAGCATATATCTTTACTTTTGAAGAATGATGTCAAACATATTTGGAAGAATTTTTGTTATTGTTTGAATTTTAAGACTTTGGGGCATGTTTAAAGAATTTTTAATATTAAATAGTCTTATTTTTATTCATGAACCATATTATGCATAATATTAGGTACACCTTCACTTTGGTTTACTTTATTATATGCAACTGAAAATTTAAAGCCTTATCTACAAATGAAACTTTTTACTATGTTTGTTTGTATTTGCTTAACTTCATCCTATATGACCCCCCCCCTCCAATAACAAATTGAAACTTGTTATTGCTATTTGCCTGAAATACAGTGAAACTTGTCGAATCCAAATGTTGTGTATTCCGAGATCTTTCCTGATACGGTGTGAAATTCAAGTCCCTGGCCTGAATACTATGTTTGAAATATTGTCTTATCTCTATTTCTTATATTTATGTACACCAGTGTATGATCATTGGCATGATTGTTGCTTTTTCAGTAATTAAATATAATTTTAAAAAACATTTTCTGCTTGTTTTAAAACAATTTTGGAAAGGAATGTTGTTCAAGATTTCACCAAAAAAGTGATTATGCATCTTACCACTGTCAGCATAAAATTAAAAATACTTAATGGCCAAAAAAAAAGGAGAAATTATTTGTATTTGTACCAGCTATACATATTCTAAAACAACTTGGTATCAGAAACTATGGGTAAAGCTACCTGTATATTTTTCCCCAACCAATACCCGCGGATGTGATAAACAAACAAACAAACAACTTCATTACAAGATTTTATGTATTTAGCATTAAATTTAATTGTCATAATTCATTCTAGAACACTCAATATTTCTTATATATACATGTAAATGATTTTAGATCAATTATTTTTACAAATAAAACATAATGAGTAGGTATGTCTTGCACTAATTTCAATATATAATTCAGGAAATGTTAAATGTAAGCACAGGAACATGTCTATGTGCAATAAGTCAATAACAAAAAGTTAATAAGAGAATTATAAACACATGTACGTGGGAAAGATACAATTGTATGTTACCTTTTAATAAAAATATCTGCTTGAGCATTTCTGACTTTAATACTGTAACAATTTTTCTTTCAATCACAAAGTTGATTGAAAAAATCCTAATTTTAACAATGGCTCAATTATATGCATCCTATCTTCGACCTTCAGGATATTGTAGGGCTTGCTGAATTTTATCACGGGTCCTGTATGCTCTGGAAATGATGGATTGCCCCTTTTGATGGCCTCATAATCCATTTCACTACAGGAAAATTGTGAAAATGTTACCTGAAAACAAAGATGTGATTATTAAAACAAACTTCTTTGACCATTGCATGCCCTAAAATTTAGTTTGAAAGAATTCAAATGTCCATATTTTTTTAAAAATCTAAAATAAAATTAACTCAATTCATCTCTTTACCTGATAAGTTTGATAAAATCGTGACAATATAGGCAAGGGCCACATTGCTCACCTAAACACTATTGCTGAAGAAATACCGATTTCAGTTCATAATTGTTTCTTATATACCAGTCTTATACACCAGTATTCAAATTTCTGTTTGATTTCTTTTAATATTATTATTAATTTCAGTAAAGTTTGAAGTTTTTGCATTACATCACAATCTTTTTTCAACAGATGCATCCAGCGTAAACAATTCATGCCCCCACTATGTGATTGGTCAACTCATTTGATCAACATTGACACAGAAATAGTCTGTTGCACGAGCAACCAATCAAGGATTTCCAGTCGTAAAGCTCCCGGTTAGGAGGCGTGTACTAATTACCTTGAGCACAGCTGTCATCATAGGTTGTGATGTAATGCAAAACTGCACTTAACTGAAATTGATAATATGTGCATAAATTTACTTACATTTGTATCTTGCAAAATAAAACCAAAAAGAACAGGCTGTTTGGAAGATTTTGATGCTGAGTGAATTAGAAGTTCCCCACCATGTTGACCTATCACATCAGTGTCTAAATGAACAATGTCTTTTCTATCCTTTTCACTAAGTTTTCGGCTTTTAGGTGGAGAAGGTTCAAAATTAACAGATTCCATGTTTCTTTTTACCTGCAATTACATCATACATGTGCATATTATTGATTCATATTATATCAATGTGAATGAATTATATATACAGTTAAACTTTGTTCTATCAAACTCAATGGGACTGGAAAATACCTGAGGCACCAAATTTTGGTCAGGGCAAAATGCCTAAAGAATTAATTACTAATGGTTGGCACTTCCAAACTGACGCCCTTTGACTTATCCATGGTTATTGGATATATCAATGTATGCGATACTGCATCGTTGGAATCCATTACTCTACATTAATTGAATACAGTGTAACAGAAAGAAACCCTGTGGGGTTCTGATGAGGGAGATACTGGAGTTCAACTATATAATTATGTGTATTGTCATGAAAACGTTTAACCCCAATTTAAAGCTCAGCTGCAGCCCCAATGGATTATGAACTTTTTGCTGTAAGCAAAAATTCATTATAACCATGATAACTGTGTATCCCTAGTATATCACAAAGGAGTGCAAATTTTTAACTTACCGTACAAATGGCAAAAATTTTGGAAGTATCTGGGTCACAGTTTGGAAGATCATAGAAGATGAGATCTGGTGTTGAGCTGACATTCATACTCCCAACCTTCATATACTGTGGCTGTAAACATGGCACAGCACTAAACCAAGGAGGGAAAAGTTATAAAAATTTGTGTCTCTGTTCCGTATATATTTTTTTTTTTATTAAAAAGCGTAATTTCAAGAGTGCTGTGAATTAACTCTATCAGTTTCAATGATTTTGTGGCAATGGTTTTAAAATATCTCAAAAATTGTGATCATGCAATTTATGCAAAAGTTTATGAGTTTATAAATATATGTATCATTCAAATTCATAATTATCAGAATGCACATCTAAGTACATGCTTTTTAAAATTTTTTAAGAGGTTTAGTGACTACTATAATTTTACATTCACTCACATAGCATTGAGTCCAAACATTGCTGTGAAGTGTTGGAAAAGTTGTCGAAACATACATTCTGTTATTTTTATACCCCTTTCTCTCTGCCATGTCAAAAAGATAAGCTGTTTGCAAAACAACTCGCCATGGACTCTAAACCTGAAAAATAAATGTATGAACTTTTAAGCCATATACTCTTGATATTAGTCATCAATAAATCTATCACAACACAATTAAACCTCTCTAAAGTCACATTTATATTCCAAAATAAAACAAACAGTAAGATTAAAAGCTTCTCTAAGTCATGGACTAGAAGGGTTCTCTTAGAACAAATAAATCAAAAGGCATATGGACTCACAAAACCTGAATCACTTTAACAGGTACAAGTAATGAAATCATTTAGTGTTTATAGTCATTGCCAGATTTTTAAAGTGTATATTTTCTCTAGGCTTATATGTTTTAGAATAGAAGAAAGAAACAAAAGGCCCGTCAGTCATGGGCCACATCACTCAACTGAGCACTTGGGTAGATTTATTACAATAATTAAAAAGTACAAACTTCTTTCACTGTTTCAGAGAAAGATTTTTAAATTATTCAATTATTAATTTCATCTGCCTATTCGGAAACAAAAAGTATGTGTTTGTTGTAGGGGTGGTTCTGTGGGTAGGGGTTGGCAAGTACCAATTAGATGTACCTCTTCATTTGTAAATAGTAATGTTTGGGAAAAAATGGACCCGATTCCCCTCCCTGTTCCTGTCTGCAAACTTTTTATTGCTGAATTGAATATTGCTTGTATTTCTTTATCTACTAATCATGCTAATAAGATACCCTAGCAGATCTAGTGAAGAGGATTAAAACAATAAATTTGTACTACAACAGACTGTGAGACAACAGATATTCTAAACAAAAAACGTCACTTCAGCCTTTGGCTCGATCATGTGAGCTAAAAAAATTATGAATGTCACACAACTTACGATTCACACCAAGCTTCTTCAGCAAAATCTGGCAGAGGTTCCACTCTAAAACTGAGCATCTGTTGATTTTGTGCATTGTACAAAATGGACTTACAACGAGCATGATTTATAGAATAAAAGTCATCAAAGTCTATAGCCTTTAATCCAGCTGGCATATAATGAATCAAATGTTCCTTAATTCTCAATATTCTCTTCTCTATTCCTTCATCAACTAGATAAGACAGTATTTCTTTGGGTGGATAAGCCCTCGATTGCAAGGCACGGATTTTTAGAATATTTAAGTGATTTTCACTCCATCTGGATGTACAGCAAGGGATTTCTGTCCGACTTTCTGCAAAGAAGTCAGTACTAAGATGATTTTTTTTTTATGATGAACTCAAAACTATTTAAACTCACTGATGACATTTTGTTTGTTTAAAACATGCGGACCCATTAAAATTTTCACTTTTTATAGCTCTGTGATCTCTAATTACTTTATCGCGTTTATTAACATACTTTATTTAGACCGATAATATTTTAGCGCGTTTTTCTGGGGATGGTAATGATAACACTTCTAAAAAGTCGTTCCAAAACCTCTATATAGGAAGTTTGTTCCAATTAAAACTTTTCATGACAAACTGATCAAAGTGCTTGAAAATATAAAAGTCATTATATTTTCTTCTTCTGTGTGGATTTCTGAGCCACGCACTCACCTGTTTCTTGATCATTGCGAATGTTTGCTGATGCCGCCATACCAAAACAAAAATATGTTCGATCCCGATCCCGATCTAATTTACATCTCATTGCTACGGAGGCGCATAGGGGTTACAACAGTTTCTTTTCAAATTTTTTTTTAAATTAGTATTTTATTACATTAATATATATTTTTATTTAATTTCTCGGTGCAGCATACGCATGCAGTTCGTGTTTGGTCGTTAATTATATTTAAGGAATGAATTTAATAGCTACCCATTTTATACGGTATAAACTGGGTTGAGGCAGTTTACGCTT